TGCATCACCTTTAATTCACCGAATGATTTGCAAAATGAGAAGCAGGTATTTGAGGAAATATTTGTTAAGGAGAACGCACGCACTAATCACTCACCAAGTGAATTTTTTGCTAATTTGTTTTCGTTTTACTGATTCTCTCAAAGAGTTGCAGAGCCATAAAAATTACGATAGACGCCTTTCAAATTACAAACATAAATAAAAAAACGATATAAAACACCCACACACACACTCACGATCAAACATAGATCATATAACAAAGACAAACGCCAGCGGAAGCGTAATATCTTCTTACAGATATAGCGTATCACACGTGAAACACGTCATTAAAAAAAGGTCGAAGTGTATATTCAATTCGTATCAAAAAACAAGTTAATAAAATCTGTTTATGCACCTCGCGATTACATATAAATAATAACAAATGTGTGTATGTATATATATATATATATATACACAATGGCACCATCTCATGTCCCCTACGAAGTCAATTAAAACTTTGTACGAACTTATTTTTTACTAAAACTCCCGTGTATTTCCAGATATTTCGTAACCGTTTAAAATAAAAGTGGGACCACCCTGTATATATATATATATATATATGTATATACATAAGTATAGAAAAAAATATATATAAATTAAACGAAACGAAGGAACGGCATTTGCGTGATTGAACGGATTGCAGATATTTTCCTGTTACTTATCGTAACATGCGATACGTTTATTTTAACACTATGAGATATGCGAATCCAAATGATTCGAACGTAAATCCCTGTTGGTTAATTCCATAATAGAGAGACGTCAGCGGAAATCTAATTCGCTCTGGGATAAAACGTTAAAGCGCATGTGATATTTAAGCTGATTATTGCAAGTAATGGCGATACGAGCACAAAGCACGACCGATTTATCATCTGTCCGACTTTGATGTATCCGAGTGCATAACGAACGCGATAAAAAATCACGCTAATTAAGCATCCATCGGTGGTGCATGTCGAACACGTGTCAGTTCAATGAACCCGCAAACGATATTGATCTAATTCACGACCAAGAGACATCTAAACGTAACCCCCGCGTGCGTGGACGCGACGCAAAACAGGCGAAATTCAATATCGACGAGCGAGATAAAAGTTGCTTATATCACTCTTAATGAGTAGAGCAGAGATAATCTGTTACAAAATGATAAATGTATAGATACTTTATTTCTGGAAGTTTACCTCATCATTATCTGTCAATGATATGATTATCAGAATCATCTCAAGTTGCATATGAATAAATATTCAATGAGAAACGGAAAATTTGCATCAAACTTACCGTTATTCTTGCAAATTGCAAGTTTTACAAGTAATCCGGTTGGAAAATTTTACCGCGTAACATTCCGCGAATTACATATTAACACATTAACAAGTTATGCATTACCATTGAATTGCACCATTTAATTCATCAAACACATTACTAGTCGCATTTCTGTATGATGAAAACTTTGAAAAATTGCTGCAACCGATGATATTGCATATCTTTATATCTGAATGATCGAAACTCTATAATTAGAAATGGAAGATTCATAATTTGAGAAAAGAGAAAAGAATATAATATTTATTAATTTCGATGATCCACCACAACGAAAGAATTTCACGATAACGATTCCGCTAAACAAAAGTTTACATTTGCACACACGTTAAAACAAATCTCAAATTACTCACAAGCAATTGAGTCTCTAGTATCGCGGAAGAAAAGTTGCTCGTGAGATAATATATATATATATATATATATATATATATATATATATATATATATATATATACAAACATTGAAATTTAATATTATTGAGAATTTTTAGCTCTGATAAAGCTAATCACTGGTGTAGGTCGAACATGATTAAATTCATGTGAATCTATTGATAGTGATGCATGCTCCACCATTTTCATTTATGAATAAATATTTCAAACTTTTTATTAAGCTTTGCACGCTCTCTGCGCAGCGAATAATATTAAATTAATAAACTACTCTAGTGATGAAGTACCTAATCTTAATTTATATTATATCTACCGCACGCGTACATTTAGACTAATCAGCCTTCGAATGATTACTATTGGACTATCTGTGACGTCTGACGTAACGGCAAATGACATTCTGTTTATAGTTCGACATTTAATTTTAAGATTATACTCAGAGGATAAAATTTATTCTTGATAATACATTATTTAGAATGTTTGTAGAACATAATTATAACATCGCAATACGGCATTATGCACTAAGAAAAAAGTATATAATATTTTGAAATTTTAATTGGATATATAGTAAAATAATTATAGTTCAGATATTCATTTTTATAGAATCTGTTACTACAATGTTAGCAATAATAATTTTATACGTACAGTGCTGCCAATCATATAATCAACATAAAAATTTTACTACAAAAGTTGCAATTATTTTAAATATAATAAAATAGTATACTTTAGTAAACAAACATCTCATTTTGGAGTGTAACAACATACAATATAGTTATTTAAATTAATTATTATGATTATAACATCTATAAAAATATGGTTAGCGCCGAAGAACACTATAAGTTGTAATGAGATGATTACCGTAACCATTTTTTTCTCAGTATGGAATTAATTTTTCTCAAGGTTTATAAATCGAATTATCTAATCGATATTAAATGTTGAAGAAATTTTTTTTCTAAAATTTTCTTTTTTTATTTAAACTTTTTTTATTTTAATCAATATTTAAAAAAAAATATAATTATACTTAAATATGTTCTACATTCAAGTACGCTTTTAACAAAGTAAATTATTGTTTTACTAAATAAAGTTTAAAATTAACTTTTTTAGCAGATGACATTGGAGCCATTGAGCGTATCTTAATTAACAATATTATTACCTAGCATTACCTGTAGCAATAATCTTTTTACTGTACTCATTAAGAAAACGTGCTAAATTACTGATAAAAAACTATCGTCTAAATTGCATTGTACAATAGATAAATTGCTTTGATAAAATGTAAAATAAAACTGGGTGATCATAATCCTATAATATGCGCATGACATCGGATCAGTAAATTGCTCTGTTAATGAATCAGGAATCCAATTGCGATTTTATACACACTATTTGCGACAGAAAATCGCAATACTAGATTTCGTCAGTTTGATTATGTGTGCCCTACTTTGTCCGAAGACTATTTTGATGCAACGTCGCGAATGCAGTAGTGTTACAACAGAACAGCGCTTATTAATCTCAGTGTATAATTTTTATGAGATTAACCACAAAGAAGTGTTGTTTGCAAAGGAGAGCCGATAAATAACGAACATGTGCGTATTTTTCCGTAACACTTGACATCATCGGCAAAAGATAGCGCAAAACTCCCGTCACGAATTTGGCCATTTTGCTCTAAATTAAATCTCATTGCTACTTAAAGATTATCGCGAAATGTATGAAATTTATTATCCCAATGTCACACTTGCGTGATGCAAATAAGACATCCAAAATTTCTTTTTTATCAATAAAAAAGACTCATGTCAACAAAATACAATGTATGAGCGCTATAAACAGTTATTGATCGTGATGTAATTTGAAATTAAATTAAAATTACTTGTTTTTAAATTATTTAAATATATCTATAAGCAAAGTTTTATTGAAAAACTTTCTGAAAACACTTGAGTAAGATTTGCGAAATTAAAGTAGTATATATAAAGTAGTATATATAAGATTTAATTTACATTAATTGGCTTTGAACTTTTTCAAGGTTTATAAGATTATCGCTCTTGCTAAATACAGCGATGTGTCATATTTTGAAGATGAAATTGAGATCGTTGATCGAGAAGTTTACGAATAGATGAAGCAATTTGCAGTGATAAATAACAGCAATGCGCTTGAATTATTATATTAATTTACAAGCGCTTGAACTTCATAAAAGATCCTAAGTTATCGCGAAAGTGCACAACATTTTTATACAATCCGCATGATAACAATGGAAGGTCATCTATGCGGGAAGAAATAGCATCGGCCTATAATTTATTTAAACCTACAAACGGATCTGCAATAAAACATTAATTAACTATATTTATGATTATCAAGCTATTTATTAAACTAAGTGATCAAGAACTAATTTTTAATTATGCCGAATGTGTTAGATATTAGCCGATAATCACTATCGCTAACTTAAGTATCAGTCAGCCGTGCAATCAATTGACTTTCATTCATGACGTCAGTTACAAGTAACAGACATGACATTCAGAATGATCAGCAACTTTGACTTATTACAACACGACATCCATATGTTGTATCATATTTCGTTACAACTCGCTTAGACAAACAAAATATATGATCCCAATAAATAATTTTATTATACGAAACAGATTATTATGCGAAAAAATTTAAAAAAAAAATTTTGCAGAGCTTTATACACTTTATTAAATTTTTGCACAGATTGTTAATATTTGAACAAATTCTTTGCTTCATAACACTTTGTTTACTCTCATTCAAATATTTGCCTCAATAGATTCTACAAACTTTTTCTTTTGAAACTTTAAATTTCATAGATTATTGATCTTATACATGCTGACTTCAAATATCCTCAATTTTATAGAATTTTTTATTCAGGAATTTAATTTTTTTCTAGATTTTCAAATTGAAAATCGCTTGAGATCGAGGAAATGTTTTCAGCGACGCTTCGCAAACAATCGATGACAAATCTGATTGTGAGATAAACATTTTACATCCTGAAATTGAGAAAAATATTAGAAATCCAAGTTTCATATTCTGGAAGGAATTCTTTTAGATTGTACAAATTTTAGATTGTATTTTTATTATTTCGAAAAAATAGAAAAACTATAAACTTGTGCAATTTGCTGTGTAACTAGCGTGTCATCCGATCATCCTGGCGCACTTTGCGTCTCTGTCGACTATTATCCCACCCCAAGATTTTTCGAATCTGGCGAGCGACATATAAAAGTACAGCCGGTTCTCGAGCACTCGCAGTTTGCAATTTCAAAGACGTGAACGAAAGTGGCGATAGCATTATCTTACGTGTTCACGTTTCAGAATTACAGTTTTATCGTGTCTTCCGCAATTGCACAAATCAGACTTCCAGCTATATTAAGAAAATTCGATAATAGACAATATTTTTTGACATTCGACTCCTTTAAATTTAATAACAGCACATGGGAATAAACGCTGATAAGCACTGAGTCGACACTATCGGTAAGAATCTAAACTAGGCTCATTGGTCTCTATTCGTATCTTGAGCGCTCTAAATGTAATCTATCTACATGTTAAAAGTATCTCATTATCAAGCCGCGATTGTATGTGGACAGCGTGTGAAATAAAATTCTGGATCAAGCGGTCACATTTAGTGCTAACAAGATATACATAGATATGCTTTCGTTTCAAGTATTTCACAGATCACTCCGCATGATGCAACACTAAAAGCATTAAATGCAAAGTATGACTTAGCAAGTTGTAAATGTATATTCGTCGTGGAGATCATAGTGCCATGTTGATAGATCAAGAGCAGCGTACTAAGATAAACTTGCCATTACATATCGTCACCTTAAAGCTATTAATTCCCCCCCCCTCTCCCCCAATTTTTAAAAACTTGAGTTTTTAAAATTAATATTCTAAGATTTAAATCAAAATTTGATTTAAAAAATTCAATCAGCGGAAGAGCAACAAAAGACTCGCAAAATTAAATTAGATAGAATTGCCAAAAAATTCGATTTAACTCTAAATATAGCATAATTGACATTTTTTACATTTTATTTATTGGAATATTTTTCATCCTTATTTTTATTTTTATTTTACTTTATTTTAGCTGGTTTATAATAGAGAGCCATCAACTTTGGCGGAAGTAATTGAAGGAAATTCAACTGTTTTTACGTTTTCCGCTTTTGTCTAGAACTTAAACGGAAAAATCACACGAAATACAGGTAAATTTTAAATTTATATCAAAATATCAAAAAATTGGCATAATTATTATATAATAATTTAACTATGATTTAATGTCCTTTTAAATATAAAAATTGCATAAAATAAGATAAATTTTAAATTTATGTTAAAATATTGATTGCGATATAATTATCATATAATTTAATTACTACTCTAAACTTATAAATTTAAGATCTTTATTGAAAAAATCAGAAATCCGTTTTGTAATATAGATATACAATATCACAGTATACACCCGTTTCTTTTCAAAGTTTACTTATCTTATCAAAGTTTGTAAAACACACATTGTTTTGGAATAGATCATCTAACTCTCCTAAAATTTATTTCTCTTGAAAAAACATCTTGTTTGCGAACAGGCTTTTTCTAATCAAGACGAAAAAAATCTAACGTGTTATATCTTTCGTAGGACAGGCGTCGAGCACGTGGACGACGAAGCCGACTCAACCGGCAGCCGCGAGTCACGCGAGATACGGATCCGTTCAGTCTGGCTGACTCGAATTCCGCGCCGATCATCGAGGCGGCCGTGTCACGTGACTGTAGAGCCGGTCGAGCGCGCAGGGCAGACAAACCGAGATTATAAATAGGCGGCAGCAAGGCGCGGGGAGTCTCTTTCACTTCCCGCTACGTTCTACAGCGCGTTCGCCTGTTCGTTCCGATCATTACGCGGTGTGCCGTGTGCCTGTGTGAAGCCTCATCACAATTCACACCGCTCTTCCTCTCACGCACGCTGTCGCTCACTCGTGTCCAACTATAACGCAAGCCCGCAATCTTGCAAGGCTCGTGAGAGATAATCTCGGAAGATTATAATAGAGCGAAGTGCGTATAACACAACTACAAGAAGACACGTGGAGGAATATTTCGGTCAAGCTAGGCTCCGCTAAGCGACAGTGTTACGGAGCTCACGAGTGGCTTGAAACGCTACGACACGACGACAACGGCGGCGACAACCCCGAAACGCAGGAAAATGCCGGAAACCGCGCACCACATGAACGGCTATGCGAACGGCCACGCGCCACCCGAGTTGCAGCAGGACACCACTTTCTTGTTCACCTCAGAATCGGTTGGCGAAGGACATCCAGGTAAGCAAATTCTCCAAATCTCATAAGGCAACCAACCCCTTTCTGGGGGTTTAACGAGTAACTCTGCATTATCGGTCGAAGCTCACGACCTCTCTGTCTCTGTCTTTTCTTCTCTCTCTCTCTCTCTCTCTCTCTCTCCGTCTGGCAGCGTGTAGCTTCTGCTATCATCGTATCGCGTACGCCACCATGGAAGAATCACTTTCATAATCGGATACATGCCGCACTTTTTCTACTCTTTCTTTAACTCGAACTCGACAGCGTCAATCTTAATACGTTAATGATGATTCAGTGTCTTTCTTTAATGTTTTTCAGTTTGCTAATGCTATTTATTTTTGTTTTTAAACAACCGGAGTTATATTCTAGAAACGAACAGTGTTAGATCGTTAGTCGCGAACCTAAGTCTAGCGAACGGATCTTTGCTTTTCATCTCATGTTCTTCGTCGCTTGTTGTCGCCGAATTCCACGGCTCGTTTCTCGCTGCTGAATTCGGTTACCTCGTGCGCGCACGCTCGCAGCCCCGGCCGGAGATGTATGAAACCTATCACATTGTTAACCGAAGAACCGCGATAGCCACGCCGCCGTTGCCGCCATGTGCTCGCTCCGATTACAGCGCGATCGGCGCCAATCGCTCGCGGCTAATAATGCGTGATCGGTTGAGGTTAGACGCCGCTTCAAGTCTGATTAAATCTTCTGAATTAGCTTTCACTCATTTAAATTCCAGTAATCACCTCAGCATGAGTCTTGCCCCATTCGTCTATACTTGTATATATATATTCTCTTGCAATTTTCTTATCGTTTTAGAAATAACATAAAAATCTAGAAAATTCTAGAATTTTATGTCACTATGTGTTGTTAGCGTTATCTTTTGCGTTTCTGACACAAACTTGTGGAATTTTATGATAACATTTACGTAACTGTATAAAAATTTCTGTTACCAGCAATTAGAAGTACATATTTTCTAACAATATTTTTGTTATTTATTGAAAGAAGTTGAAAAAGTTCTTTCTAAAATAATGATTTAATCACAAGAAAGTGTAATGCAAAAATGTATTGTTTCTTTCTAGATTATAATGTATCTAATTATTCGTGGAAATAACAATTGAATCTCTAGCTATATCAGCATAAATTAACATTGACATTAGTTAATCAAGGCTAAGCTAATCATTAATTCTTTCTATATTGCAGATAGGACTATGCTTTAGAGTCTAGACAAAATAGTAAAATAATTAGGATAGATAATAAAGATAATAGATAATAGGTACTAGGACTAGTTAACAAGATTATGAATACAATAGGTTAGCCACAGTCGATGACTATAAAACTATAAAAACTGACCATATTATTTTACAGTTCTATTTGCAATATAAATATAATGATAGCCTTTCACTGTCACTGCTTGATCATAGTTTAACTGATGTATTGCTTTTCGGAATTATTAATTTTCATTTAAAGTACAAATTAAATATTTCGATTCTATCGTCAGAAAAAGAAACAATTGAAATAAGCTTCAACTCACCGTTGTCTTTTACATTTCTATTAGTCTTTAAGAAGGAAAGGAATTGATGCTTAACGTAGTTCTAAGAACACCTTCTGAACCTTTTATAATCTTTAATTTTTAATTATAATAGCGAATAAACCTAGAATTGAAATTAATTCTTTTTAGGAGGGTCATTTTTATGACTTGTAACTTCTTGGGAACGCTACACGTCACAAGTAATGGCCGGAGCACAGACTTTTGCATAAAGCATAACGCGTAAGCAT